ATATATATATATATATATATATATATATATATACATACACACACATATACGTAATACATACCACACATACCGTAATACTTAAGTTGCGTGCCTGTATTTTGTATGAGATCGAGCGAGTTCGATGAAAAGGAGGAAGAAAAAAAAATAAACGAGATATTCCTTGCTACATCGAAATGTGTTACCTTATTTCTTGATGCGTTTCCAAGTCTGTGTCGATCAAAGGTTCAGTTCCGTTTTGGTGTCAAAAGTCATATTCTACATACATATATACATATATATATATATATATATATATATATGTACAGGCACATATATGTATGTATATATATATATATATGTATATATATATATCTCAGCTCTCAGTGTGCTTGTTTATATTTATCGCGAACTATTAGAGCGACGATTGGATTCTTTTGTATTCCCTTTTGCGCTCTCTTCTCGTTCTCTCGTATCTACGAATATTATTACGTCGGTTTGGTGTGGCAAGGCTGTCATGACCGCACATCTTTGAAATGGAAAAGAAAGAAAAAAAAAGAAAAAAAAAGAAAGATATATACCTACCTACCCTCTCGGTACGCGTGAGTAGAGATGAGCTCATCGGCGAGAAAAAATGTTCATGAAAAATGGCACCAAAACACTGCCTTTGCCATTCCAAACTTGGAGTCAGCAGCAAGTTATAAGCAGGCACATATGTGAGTGAGCGTCTTCTACGCGGCTCTCGCTTTCTCGTAGAGAACGACGTCCGGTTCCGTCTCCGACGAACGAGAAGAACCTGTGTTACAAGATGATACCGGGTGTCGCTTGTTGTTTGTATTTATCGGCATATTAGAGTTGCCAGGTGCAATATTACGAAGGGAAAGGAAAAAGAAAGAAAGAAAGAAAAACGGGTCAGACAGATGTAACGTTGGCGGTAGGCACAAAGGAATATGTCGTGAGGAAATTTTTCTCTTCGGGACGTTTAAGATGGTTTTTTTTTAGGGAACGAGAGCCTTTGAACGAACGTTTGCAGGATATCCCACAATCTCCGCTCTTAATTCTCTTTCTCGTGGCGAATTTTTACCGTCAAGTTTACATTGCCTTTCGTTTTTCTCTCAGAGGAATTTACGCCTCAACGATTGAAGACTTTAATAATCATTGAATTCGATCGTTGAATCAATTTAATTGTTATCAGTTAGTCGAAATTGATTAACGTCAAAGGTGGAAATTGTAGGATACCCACAAACAGCACCAGTCTCCCTCCGACTTCCCCATTGCGAGTCCTTCGTAGTTACTTCCGTCAGACACCGAAATCGATAATCATCTCCGAGTCGTGGTGGTGGTCCTCTTCTGGACTGACGATGTCTCGAGTGCAGAGACAAGAATATAGAAGCTCACCTGGTTTTTTCCGTATTAAAGCTACAGATTTGCGCATAATTTATCTTAATCCGTCTCATCATCAGGTGACTTGAACGCGAAGATAACGCTATTTTTGTAAGCGGAAAATTTATACAGACCTGACGCCGATCGATAATGATACTAAATCGTATCCCATGCCGGTGTGTGTTTCGGGAAAAATAATGCGATAGTCCCAAGTAAGGGTTTCCCCATGGAGAGATCTCCCATGTGTCTCATGATGTCTCATGTATGGCTTTTAACGTCTTGCAGATTTGGTTGTCAAAACACACGATGGAGCAGATGCCGGTGAGTATCATCACAAACTGATGCGTCTTTCGGTCCTTTATTGCTTATGAACATTCTCGGTGTAAAATTTAATGGGCAAAATTTCACGCAATCAGTTCGATTTGTCACACACAGTCACACGGATCTCGAAATCAATTTGTCGCAGAGGTCCCCGAGGTGGACCGTAACAAGTCCAAGAGTATTTAAGGAATATAATTATTAAGAACAAAATTATAAATATTATTATTATATATCAGCGCATGTAAAGGACATATTAAATGCAATAAAGGATCAGAATGTTATTGGTGGTCGAACCTTCACCTTGGAGAGTGCGATTAACTACGTTCCCTCGGTAGATGTGGTGTCCACCGACGCCCCCCACGACGGACAATGACGTGTACATCGATTATTCTCTGGGTTTCCTCTACGAGAACACCCCCATGTCGGAAGCGCAACTGCCGCCGATCTACATCAAGAAGGAACGGAAGAGATGCAGGGTTAACGTCATCAATGAAGACGGTGAGTGTTATTGCCTACCTCTTCTTGCATTCTTCTTCGGTGTGTCAGGCTTGGTCTTCATAGCTGAACCGACTGCACTAAAAATATTATGTAACCATTATATATGTATATGTAAAACTTTTCCGTAGCATCATCTTAACATTTTCCTACATAATAATATGCTCCAAAAAGTATACATTAAAGTGTTTTTTATAGCAAGTGTCGCAAGTAGCTCAGTATCGCTGTTCTTTATTGCTTTACAACGGAACTTAGTATAAGAATAAATAGAAAATAGAACACGAAATATTTTCTCAGTGTAAGAGTTTCACTGTATTGGCTGCACTTAGATATAGAGGCTGCGCAAGTAGCGCAAAAACTTCAACTCATGCAAGTAAGAAATTTGCATCGAGAGTAAAAATGACTCAAATAACAAATTCAGAAAAACGGGCTCTTCCACGCACAGTTTTTGAAAAAGCACGTTGTATATTTCAATAACATTTGCAATCTCCAAATCTCCAAATATACAGTTTATATGTTATTTATATGTTTATATGTTATTTGAAGAGAAGTAACAAACCTATCTATGTGTGTCAAATATAGTCAAGTTCGGAATATGATATGACTGACCGCATATTGTTATTGTTGCTACAATAATTTAATACTACTACACTTACAGCTACCATCGATAACTACTATTATCTGATAACTCTATATTTTTATACACACGACAATTTTATAATTTTCGAACTTATAAAACCGAAATACAATGATAATATTTACATTATCTATTCGCGGTAAGTGCTTTGTTTTTCTCTCGGATTGAGATTACGTTTTTATGTGTTTGTTTCCAACATTCTGTGAACAATTTTTACCTTATTATTGAAGAAGATCCTCAATTGAAGAGATTCTCTTGCCGGATAAGACGGATGAATCCGTATCGTATTTGATAAACTTCCTAATAATGGAGGAAATAGAGGAATTCATGCCGAATGAGGAGGAACTTCAATCGGAAGAGATGGAGGATGATGAAACGAGTGGTTCATCAAACGGTATTCCCTTATGTTTTAACACGTTCACGTTGGTTCATTATTTCCTGTTTCGCATCGGGCGACGCCGCTCGATACGGATATTATATGCCCGACTCACCCGGTGGCTTCGCTGTGAACATGTGTTAATATCAATTTTCACCAGAACGTTAATATTAATTTTCATCAGAAGGTCTTTTCCTTTTATAAAAGTTACAATTATTTGTTATACATTACATTACATTCATGTGTGTATGCTTACCTATATAAACTTATATGTGCGCCTACACTCGCCTCATTTCTCTTGTCCTTATTCAGTTCACTTCTAGTGCAGTCCGCTGCAGCTATGAGAAACGCACACCTCTATTGATGATTGGCGATTTGAATTATTTTAGTCCTCAACATTGCAGGATGTCGACCAGCGAAGATACGACACAAGGATATGTCCGTGTACGCACCGAAGTCGCTGTTCGACAGGCCGATGACCATATTCAACAAGCTACTTCGCGATTTGAAACTCCACAAATACCGGTCTTTGTTGATGGGACTAACGGCTTCCTCCTCGAAGGGGGCCGAGGCGGTTTACCCGGAGGAATGGCTGATCAACGAAGACGTGACGCTGCTGCAGGCCGTTAAGATGTATCCGGCACACCCGGTGAACTTGCTGCTACTCGATCAGGATACGAACTGGGACCTTGTCTCCGACATCGTCAACAACATCTCGCGGTTGTACAGATCGTTTAAGCAGTGCAGGACGCGATACGACACTGTGGTGGAGCCTCGCGAAGAGGGCAAGATGCTCTACGACGCCACGCCGAAGAAGCAGAAGAAGCAGAAGGGAAACGTGTACAAGACACCGCAAGTTGTCGAGGTTAGTTCACTTTCGCGTGAAATAGTGGAATATTTTGAAAACGAAACAATGAAACAAAAATGTGTTTTGGGCAAAAGTTGTAGACTTTAGAGGGGGCCTTGGGGACTTTGGAGGGGGGGATAAGTTGATATGGACCTTAACTTCGTTGTAGTCAATAATTCAAGATCACTTTTAAAAAGGTCTATTTATTTTTTTTTTTTTTTACAAAATTACATAGTTTTTCCAGCAAAAATCGAATATCTCTGTTAATTCTATAAAAATACGCGAGTAAGATCATCGAAGATTGTATCACGAAGGCACCAGCAACTCTCAGAATTGCTCGACAGCAGCGTGTAAAATATTAACGAACACCTATCGTCTGGTTTCCTTTAGCAACCGAGCAAAAGCAGCAGGCCGATGAAGACGTTGCAGCTGCAAAGCCAGGATAAGAACAAATCGTTCACGCAGATAGCCATACAGAGGTTCGAGCTGTTCAAGACCGTGTCGAACAAGCGAACGCCGACCGTGAAGCCGATGCTCGCGACCCCGTCGATGAAAAATTCCAACAACGCCGCCGTATTGGCCGAGTACGGCATACAGTACGATAATCCCCTGACACCGATAGAAGCTGCCATATCTCGCGCTAAAAGAATCAACGACGAGAAGATCAGACATGCTGTTAGTATATATAGTCTGGCAATTGTCGTAGCAATGGAATTCGCGTATAGAACGCGTTAAACCGAGCATAAAATTCCTTTACTGTTTCGCGATCTTTGCAACGGTTATCAACGTTTGTTGCTGCGCTTAAATTCAAAGTTGTTTGTTCTATAATCCACGTTTTATGTTTTGTTTCTTTTTTAATAGCTAATAATTGTTTCTTTTTTAATATTTTCAGTATATACGCAACGCGTTGTGTAACGCGTATGTGCGTAACGCGCCGGTCTCTCAGCAAAGAGTTCGCTGATAACGAACGAATATTAATATCAGTAAATGACGACTATTGTTCAAAGAAAATATCACGGGATTTATTTACTGTCTCCTGCCAATGGTGAATGGCGTGTAATGCCGGATCGCTCTTTGATTATTTTTTGACAACTATCGCGAAGATTGTGTAAAATGACTTCTCATGCTCATCTTAATCCGCTCTGTCTGCGCACGAGCCTTGACACGCTACCTGGCGGACACCTTCCATATGTCGACAAAAATATCACCAATTCAACAGTTAGTTCGAAGTTCGCATTACTTCAGATTAAAATCGGATTACACTTATCTGTATATCGCATTATTTCACTAAATATGCGGACTTGTTGCTTCCAAATTAAGCGGCGTTCGATTTTGGAACGAATGCGCGTATCTTTCGCAAATGTAGGACTTAATTTGTAAACCCAAGAAACTTACAATCTGCGACTATTAGCGTCCATGTATATTAGTGTATGCTATTAAAATATATACTATAATAACAATAATAATATAACTAATATATCACAATATTATACTATATATATAGTACAATACTATAGTATAATATTATATATATAATTTATTATATATATAATATTATATTAGCGGCTGGCTGTAGTTAATAATCTTTGCATACCTGATGGGAAGTAGTCATCATGGTGGTATGTCTTTGATGGAACTATAGCACAGTACAGCATCGCGGCTTCATCAACAACAATTTCATCTGCAGCAATTCAGGCTGCATCAGACCCAGCAGCAGACGGGGCAGCAGCAGCAGCAACAACAACAACAACAACCGGGGCAGCAGCAGGTGGTGCAACAGCAACAAGTGGGGCAGCAGCAGGTGGCGCAGCAGCAGGCCGCTTCGAGCGCTTCCCAGGTGGTGCACCAACTGGTGCATGCGACGGCGGTCACGACGGCGGCCAGCAGCAGCGGCATCACCAAGGTCGCGACCAGCAACAGCGCGACATTGAACAATATCACGGCCGGCGGTAACCCGGTGGTCACCACCGTGAGGGCTCGGCCAGGAGTAGCGGCGGCGGCAGGGCAGCAAGTGGCCGCGCAAGACGTTAGAACGACCTCCACCGTGGCGGTGGCGAACGTTGGGAACGTGCAGACGGCGCAACGGATCGCGACGGCCAGTCTGGTGTCCGCCGGTCAAGCTGGCTCCGGGACGGCTGTGCAGAAGGGTGTGGTGGGCGTCACGGTGACCACCACGACCGGCACTAAAACGCTGACTCCGGCGCAGATACAATATTACCGGCAGCAACACATGCTGCTGCGACAGCAGCAACTGAAGATGCGCGAGGGGATGAACGTGAGCGGAAGCACCTCGATGGCATCGGTAATGTCATTAACGGCCGGAATAAAGTCACGTATACCGTGATTAACGGCCGTCGAGGTCGTCGATTTCGTCGTCATTCTAAACAGATCCAGTAGACTGTCGTCTGTTAATTAATAATCTTGTCACAATTCTCAGGTATTACACGCTCAGGGCAGCGGTGGTCAGAAAGTTTCGGTCGCAGTGTCGGCCACTGCGGCGCAACGAGCGGCAGCGGCAACGTTGATGAAGCAGGGTATCGCCGCGGCCGGGTCCGTCGCGCAAACCACTGTGGGTAAACAGACAGTTACGCGAACAATGTCCGAAGCGGAGATGGCTGCTCTGCTCAAGCGTCAGGCGCTGCAACAACAGGCGAAGGCAGCTGCAGCAGCCGCGGCAGCGGTCGCGCAGGTACGGGTGAGTGAATGAGCGGATGAACGATATTGCCAGATAGAGATTCAAGTGGAAATGCGTATCGAATCGTTGATACAGAGAGAGAGAGAGAGAGAGAGAGAGAGAGAGAGTGAGTGAGTGAGTGAGAGAGAACGCAGGTAGAGCCACATACCAGGTAGAACCAGGTTTTTTTTAGGTTTGACATCGACGAGATCAATATGTTGTTGCCCCGTAAATTGTAAAAAAATTTCACTGCTTTCGATATATCCTTCAAAGAGAGACATATTGCATGATTTAACGTACATTGTAAACAATGGCCATTGACAAATAACTCGAATTTCGCTGCAGGTGCCTGCTCAAGCGGGATTGACGCCCGCGCAGATCTTCGCCCAGGCGGGTCTGCAGGTGCAGCAAGCGGGCACTTCAGCGAGCGGTACTCCGGTGGCCACCTTGGTGAAGACCGCCAATGTGGCTGGTGTGCGCACCGCAACACCTCAACAAATTCGCCAGCTCGCGTTGCACCCGCAAATCCTCGCCCAACGGAAGCTACCGGCGCAGAAGGTCGCCCAATTGGCTCAGGTGGCTGGTAAGACAGGCGTGCAGACACAGCTGATCGTGCAACAGAAGTCCTTGTCTACGACAATGACAGTGCAACAGATTCAACAGGTGATGAAGCACGTACAGCCCTCGGCGATGCAACAGTTCACCCATGTATGTAACCCCACTGTGTGTGTTTGTGTGTGTATGTTGTTCTCTTACCTAACAATCGAAGAACCTAACTAGGAAAACTTCTCATTGTTTGTTTGTTTGTTTCTTTTTTTTCTATTTGTCATTCGTTTCTCATGATATCATGGAAATTTGTTAAGATAGTTGTAAAACTAAAATAAAAACTGTAAAATAATATTAATAACGTTTATTATGTGTGAATTTTTGTGTTTCTCACAGAATTATAATCATCGTTTGCGATATCGCGGGAAGAAAAATGGCAAATATCGAGAGAAAGAGAGAGAGAGAGAGAGATATTTTCGTCGGTCATAACTCGATTGCTATCTTCTATTATAACACTTGTTTCTCATGAAATCATGAAACAACGTATAAAAATAATTGTAAAGCTGAAACCGTAAGACGCCCATTGTTTGAATTTTCGCATGTCTTACGTAAATCACGAGAGTGATATCGTGTACGATATCGCAAAGACAAATGTTTTCGTCGATTGTGCCACAATTATGATTAATTATTATTTCTTGTCATCATATTCGTTCATGAAATCGCACGGGAATTCAACGAGGTTGCAAAAACAAAAACCATGAGACGCTGTTATTTATATTTCTCCTCGCAGAATCGCGAGGATACGGCATCGTAGGGAGAAAAGTGACAAACACGAAAGTAGACAAAATATAGACTTCTATCGATCGTGTTTGAAATAATTGAGGAAAATCGAAGAGGGTCTCTCGCTGACACTCACGTTTACTTATATGTTACGATCGCAGGTCTCGACGGGTCAAGCCGTGTCGCAGGCCAGCCAGGTGGTGCTTGCTAAATCCCCGCTGCAGACACGCGTGATACCGGTCGCGTCCGGTGCTCTGAAGCAAACTATCCAGGTAGTGACCGCCAGCAACGCCCAGCTGAGGCAGGCAACGCCTATCCAGGGCAAACCGGTGGCGAGCAGCACGGTCAGACGTAGTCCTGGTCCGGGCCCGTCGCCAGCCCCGTCACCGATCCCAGGCTCTTCGACCACCGGCACCACCGGTGCCGGGTCAACTGGCAATTCAGGAGCTGGTTCCGCTGCCACTTCGAACATGTCTTCGACTACACCCACACTTGGCCAGGTGAGAGTGCAGGGCATAACGCACTCGCAACAACAGCAGCAGCAACAGCAGCAGGCTCAGCAGGACGCTCAGCCGAAATAGCTTTCTTGTTCCACGAAGGAATCGTGCGAATTGAATCGGGAAATGCGGGGAACCGGTTAGGCCGGTACGCCTTCAGAGGACCGGGTTTAATTTGTTAGTTTAACACGTGTAACATTAGTTGTGTAACATCAATATTCGATATATTAACGTAGTATGACGCGTAATACTTATTGTATATATATATATGTGCGTACGCAGAACCGGCATTGTAATATTTGCACGCGAAGTTGTACCATCGTCGAGAGGAACTCTTCTCGTGTGGAAGATACAGGCTCCGGACGGATGTAACTTTCGTGCGTAGGAACTTCAACGCCGGCCTGTGAACGCTCATTTGCGAAACGGTGTTCGAACACATCTTTTTGCCGACGAAAAGCGCGTCAAGTAATCGCAATTGCGAGTTCACGGGTTTGCGTCGTGATCTACGCTGCGACAGAAGCCCGAGTGACGGTATACGACGGAAGTATGGATCCTTTAATATGTTCTTGTATTATGTCGTACGATATATAGGTTGACCCAAATGTCTCATCTCTCGAGAATTTCGAGAGAGACAAATCCTTCATTCATTGGACACGGAATACGTTTCGGAAAATGGTCGAAAATGTAACCTTCAATCCGTCAACTATACGTGTGTGTATTAAGAATCTCGCGGTGCGATTACCCGCAGTTATTCCGAGATATCCTGTACAATATTAACACCTTTTATCTAATACATTAGAATATAATGAAGTATGCTCCGTCGCCTCGTATATTATCATCTCGGCTTCCTGTTGTAACGGATTGTTGCACAGGTTCGCGAGTAAACGGCTCGCAATCGCGACCATTTGACGCGGTCGTTACTTCACTTCGTCAGCAAAAATGCGCTTGAAAACGAGCCGTCTCGATTACCGCCTCGCAAACGAGTGTGCATTATTATGTAACATATGTACGTATATATGAGGGTACACGTGCACACTAACATAACTTATATGCGGCGTACAACTACATTATATGTCTGTGTATATATATATAAAACACTCGACACGCGTTTATATATATCCAATGTGTTTTTGCGATACTACGGTTGGAGGGAAAATCGTTTTCAGAAGTGTGTATGTGTGTGTCTCGGCGAAAGCGAAATTATGATTGGAATATTCTAGTCACACTAGGCGAGGAGACAAGATATTTTGTTGTAAAAGGAAATGATTGTTTTTTTATCGAGACCATATGTTAATTCACATATGTGGGTTCCTTCAGTTTCCCGATTCAATTCGACTTCTCGCCGTTTGGTTTTTTGGTTTTTTTCTCTTCTTCAAAGTTAATGATAATCCCAATACGTGACATTGAAATCTGACAGAACGAGGATAAGCGTAACGCGCATTCGAAGTATAAAGCATTCCAAGGTTTCGCTGCGATCGGCCCTGATTTTGAAGTTACGGTGACTCACTTCCGCACACGTTCGTTGGACAAATCACCACGTCTGTTTCAGTTCATTTACGTGGTCGGCATTTCGTCCTTGATCACATGCCTCGATATCATTGACAATCGGTGTTAATTACGAACATTTTTGAATATTTCCGGAGTAAAAGTTGAAGCGTTTGGCAGTTAGTGCATTGCGGTGTTAAGAGAATCGCTCTCGAAGTTTTATTTGCCCAAGAAGATACCTTGGCGTATATTTATAAGTACGTTATACTATATAATTTGAAAGGCAATCGGGTGTTCTCTCATTTGAATAATTGATCCTATATGACACCGTCGTTTTCGATTGAAGAAATTTATCTCAACTAAAATACAATCCGTCACGTTCGTTTTCCTTTAAAAGCATATACCACACGTACACACGCGCGCACACACACATACACACACACACGCACACACGCAAACACACCGTTTCGTCATTGTACCTTCTCTCCGTTTTTCTCTCGGAGCACCCTGTATTGTGCGTGTGTGTGTACACAGTTATATGTATATATGTATGTATAATTTCCGTATTATAAGTACTGAAATAAATCTCTACGAGGAGAGACCAAGTCTTTATATTATCTGAATCACCTGAGGATCGGACGTCTAAGAGCCACGTGTAATTTATAACGAAAACGAGAACGCATTTTCCTGATATTTTTTTTCTTTAACTCGAAATAGCATCTCGAATTATCAGTTAGCGGAGATATCTGCTCGATATAAAAATTCTGTGGTTCATATTACTTGCTCTGCCGCGCAGGACAATTTAAAATAATACGGCTGAACGTTCCGAACTGAGTGAGAAACATAACGTTAGACGGTGAGTTCGCGGAAAAACTGAGGAAACGTTCGTATGATGAGATAACAAAAGAGAATCACATATAAAGGAAGGAATGACAAATTTATTAATGTGTAGATAATGATGATAGTATAATTAAAACTAAAAGCTTAAAAAATCGTCGCACGCAGTATGATGTATCTAAATATCGTCAGATTACTGTGAAAAAAGTCTATAGAATCGGAGAATAAGTTAGCTGTTAAACATAATCTGTCCATATGGAAGTTTAAATTATATAAAATTTGACGATGTTCAATGTAAACAAAAAAAACGGGTGCTTTCAAACCTTGGCAGAATATTTAGGTTTAGCACTTCTAATATGTGTGGGCAGTCAATATTATCCATACAGCCCAAACCTCCAAGGGATATCCTAAAGATAGACGACGGCCTAAGGATATTCCAAGAATATTTCCATATAATCTAGCGAGAAATAATCCATCGAATCAACATCAAATCATGAAATCAATAATGTCGGAACAATCGAAATTATCGATTTGACGTCGATATTTATCTATCGCTGGGAATAGATCGATATACAAATTCTGAACGAACTATGGCACAAAACAATATATTCATATTATGGATGAAATATTTCTTCTTGGTTCTTGTGTTTTCAGATAAACTGAAAAAGCTGCAATCGTATTCGCCGTTATGGAACAATGATGAACGAAATGGCTTCTCAGACAGCAAATCCACACGACACACTTTATCCTGAGGATATCCTAAATTATTCCAGATTTTTAAATACGATCCCACAGACATAGCCTAATATCCTAGTGGGAATAGGATATCTCACGATGTCCTATTCGAAATGCATATATAGACGTTACGTAACGTGCGAATTTTATTTGTTATCTGATGCGTATGCGAGGTATGCTTAATCTTATCCATTATATTTTTAATTCGACGAATGAGTCAGATAGAGCACTTTCCAATTGGCCATCCATCACAAATGCGACACAACGGCATCAGCACCGTCGCGTTTGTTGAAATGAAATATGACAAATAGTACGATGAGTATAAACGAGATATTTCGTGATATTTCGCATCCTCTGCGAAATGGATTATTAGATATTAATTTCTACTACTTGATAATAATTGTCATACGTGGTAATCAGCTTTTCTGAAATTTGTGATAATGATGATTTGTGATGTGATTTTGTTTAACTATAAGTATGTTTCAAGACTATTATCAAGAAAATAAAAGAAAATTGTTTACTGAAAATAATTTACTTAAATAAATAATTTACTTAAATGATTACATTATTTAAAAGAAAAAAATAAACTGAACTGATTGCTTAGCAGTAGAATAATATTTTTTTTCTATGTAAAGCGAATGTAAATCTAACAGTCAATGACAGAACGAAATAAATGTTGGATGTTTCCTACTCAAAAATATAACTGTTATATAACACACACGCGTTAAATAACAGTTATATTGTTCAGTGGGAAATTACAACTAACATTTATGTAACTATTACTTTGTGTTTATTGGGAAATTACGCAACGTACTACTTTCGTCACAATTTACACAACTCCATATGGACATTTATGCATAGATCAATACGGAAAAAGTTGCATCGTGCGTCAATGAATTTATTCACATATTCATCATCAACACATACGCAACGCAACGATCTCTTGCGTTACGATTTCATACATTATCAAGTCTGTTTCACACAATTGCGTAAAGAATGGAAGGAAAAGACGAGACATTCCGTGAAGAGAGTTTCGCAAATATATTTTGGCAGCGAATGAGTTAACATTATTTACTATGCAATTGTACGCACAAACGCACGTATAGTCGGTGTTATGTATGCTCTATCATTCTCTAGATTGAAACTTTTTATTATTACACAATTTTCAGCCTGTCACACATGTATGCATAAAGTTGAACCTATTATAATTAAGTCGAATCTATATAATTAAAACATTATAACTAAATTCTGCGGTTTCCGAGCGCGCATTCTGTGTAAGGCTGATAGTCGTGACTTCTCGTTATTTTATGACATGTGTGATATTTTATACTATATAACGTTTTATATCTTCTCATATATACCTATTGCGTATTTTTCAACGCTTGTCTATCCCGATTTCTCTTCATTATTCTATATTTCTGAGAATAAAGAGGATTCTACAGGATGTGTAATTAACGATAATACTATTGGCGACTGCTAACACGAAGCACGAGTGGTAAAAGAAAAAGTATGCTGTGTTTAGAAAATACGGAAGATATTGATAGCTGCCTCCTATTTTTTCGATTCCATTATCAAATGAAACGAGGAAAACATTTTGATCATAAATGATATCAAATCGGCGATGCTAGAGAAGTGACTTAATCGGGAAAAAAGTGGAAATACGCAGAAGAAAGAAATATATGATATCAAAAAGAAATATATAACGTTAAATCACATTACAGGCTTACGCCTGTGTGCTCACGTACTTTGAGTGTTACCGTTGTATGCGCATACGCACGTGGTTTCTTTTTCTGTGCATCCCACTCCACAATAGAACCGCGTCTATATCCTACTATCATTGATATCAGCGGCAAATACTATTTATAAGGCGCGATTGTATAAAGTTTTAATCCTTGTGAGATAGTTACAAATGTCATCTTGAACACTCTCTCTCTCTCTCTCTCTCTCTCTCTGTTTTATTTAGAAATTAATTTTCTCATTTGACAAGTTTTGCCCATAGAATCTAACCCTTGTGGATTCCATTCAGATAGCACTGAATTCTCAAGGTATTCCTGAAGTTTTCTCCTTTCTCGAGTTGTAACTCTGGAAATTCATAAGAGATAATACTGTAAGAATGATTTAGGAAGTTACATGCGCCACGATCGGAATTTCTCGGAGAACCTTGTGGAATATTCATATTCATAGAATTATTTTGTATCCACAGATACGTATACTTCGTGAATTCAAGAGGAGTAGTGTTTAAAGAAAAGCATTTCTTATATCGACAAAAGTATATTCCGGGGTTTCTCATGTGAATCTCCACACGCTGTATATTCCGCTGGCGCAACATCTGATTTCTTTCGCCGCGAAATCTGAAAATCGCTTCCGAAGAGGGAGATATCGGCTTAATATATTACAACATCTGAAAGATATTAAAAACTCGAGTGTTCCCGCGCGAAGATAAGATTTCACCCTGACGTAAAGGTACAGTATCGATGCAGGCGATACCATCAATGCGGAATTTACGCCATTCAGATCGGCTTTTGATCGATCAGCTGACCTTCTTATCGCACTCATTGAGATATTGTGCAAATCTTTCACGGAGATATGCGAAAGTTGCGATAACCAGTCAGATCGCTGCATATCCACGTGCGCACAGGAAAAAAGATTTGGCCGCGGCAACAAAATCTCTTTTCTCCATGTAATCGATTACGCGATCGCGCATAATATGTAGAACACGTTTCGGAGCGTGTTTCGGGGCGCGTTAACAGTGCAAAAGTGTCATTCTACACCCACATTTTATTTCTAAATGAACGATAAAGATAGAATGACGTATTAACATGGATAATGCGTGTTTTGAAAGCATCGGTAATTCGATCTAATCTAATCGCACTTTGGAAGAACTTTCTTTCGAGTGGTGTTATCCGCCATCTTTAATTGGCCACCGGTAATACCGGATGTGTCATCTCAATTTAATTTCACGCGATACATAAAATAACCTCAATATGTCGCATGAGAGAAAGGATCTTGCTAATTCTCCTCAAGTATATTTTTCCGCATGCAATTTGGATATTTTAGTCGCACACACGTCGCACGCTCTGTTAAAGCGAACAAATGGCCCTGTAGAAAGTATAACGCAAAAATGCTTGACGTGCGGTAAGCAATGTCAGAGCTAATCAACGTATCGTTTTTCCGTATATTAGTGAAAATTAAAAGTTTATTACAAGCGTTTTCATGTTTTTACGTATAGAAATCATTACGCTTTAAAAATCAGCAATATTCTGTTATCTCTTTTACACACTTTGTGCAAAAGTTATGTTTTAAAATTACAACAGCGACAATATTCCGTTATCTCGTTAAAACAAAAGAATTGCGTCAGAGATATTATCTCGATACCTCATTTCTCGTATTGAGTAGAAAATTAATTTAGTGGAAATTAAAAAATGTACCGAAGAGATTTTTTAATTGTGTTCCACGTTATTTTTCACATCTAATTAAATTCGAAGTCATTCAGGAAACATTAAAGATGTTTTAAAGATGTTCTTAACCTGTTAACCGGAGAATTCCTTTTTTAATTACGCAACATATAACGGGCGCGTACTCTTTCAACACATATTTCAAGGACGTATTTATATGTCCTACCCGTACCCGATATTGTTTACGTTTGACGTATTTATATGATTCGCTCGATTAATAGGTTAAGGTAACAAACGTTTTTTTAGATATGCGCGTTGTATGAGCATTTTTATTTTGAGAGGAATGCAATAGAAATGCAATGTTTGAATACAAAATCAAGTAAGCTCGATTCGAGAATTAATGCGACCAGTCGACAATTATATTAGCGATCATTATATATATATATTGTTACGTCCCGAGTTACTCCGGAACTTCCTCCTCCTCCTGTTTTCTATCGCTCTTCTTTTTCGCTCTCCCTTCCCTACACTCTTTTTTCATCCCGGTAATCGCCTGTTGACATCGTACCGTTTCTGCTTCCAAATTATAATGTTAGTTGTAGTCCCGTGCGTATCGTTGCTATATTTTGTTTCATTAAAATAATTTACACCTTTTATTTACCGCTTTTCGATCTTATTAAATTTAATATATATATCATTTTTATATTTAATTAATTATTTAATTTAATATATATATATAATTTTTATATTTAATTAATTTAGATCCAGTATATTAAGCCGATATCTCCCTCTTCGAAAGCGATTTTCGCGTCGAAAGTAGTTAAATGTTGCGCCAGCGGAATATACAGCGTGTGGAGATTCGCATGAGAAACCCCGGAATATACTTTTGTCGATGTAAGGTCGATGTAAGATCAGATAACTTAGTCACTGCCGCTGAATAGCAGAAGTATCGTTACGCACACTGACCACCATATTTTAAGCAAAATAGGAATCGCTTCAAAGATCAGCCTTGAAGGCTCCGTGAGCGTGATTTATCAGCGCGTGAAAGCCTGATCCCCGCGTCACTTGCTATTTATAGGAAATCTCATAACTCGTCTCATTTCTATTATTGTATTAAAATTCTAAATTGATCCGATAATTCCGCGCCTTCTGATCTTATTGTTCCACCGATCATGCTCGGTGTATGAAATGGGTTATGTTATGCGATTTTTTAGATATCATGCGCGATTTGGATAATCCAAATTTTTCCGCTCCGTGAGAACAGATATACATAATCCGTTTCTTATCCTAGATCTATAAATTTAAGACCACTGTGGAACACCAAGTCTGGTATTCCCACCGAAAATGCTGACCATCGCAGTTGCAGAAAAAAGAGGGAGACTAGAACGAGCGTATAAATAAGGGTCTCATCTTCAAGAACAATAATAATTTCCTTCAGTCATCCAGATTCAGTTTGGTCAGTCAATTTCCAAATTCTTTGTTTCACGAGTCCGTCTCGCGAGTTCTTAGTGAAGTCTTCTCGAGTAAACGAGAAATAGTATCTCCGATAAAATCCGCGTGGTGCATCGGCAAGTGCCAGATATTGTGCGAAATCTCTTGAAGCCAACCCTAGTGGTCTCAGCCTTGCCGCTGGTCTCCCTCTTCTTTCTAAGGCGACGTACTTCTCTCTATCAATTATTTTGGATTAGCCGACATCGAAAATAAGTTTACCTTTATAAAATAATAGTAATAACACGAACCGGTATCCATATTTCGATACAGTCCGACGCAGTTAATCTTATTCTATTCCTTCTGGACATCGCGAAAAATCTGTTGCCATCTTGACTGAAAATTATCTAAATTTCGTGAAGATAATAATAAATTATATTACTTTTTCATTTTATGTTGTTCCTGTTTTTTTCTTAATAATCCTATTTATTCCGCGATTTTATTTCAGAACCACGCCTTTCCATCTTCCCTCTCGTCTTAATTACCTGTTAAGCGTGGCGGAACCGCTCCCGCTACGCATGTCACGGACTGTTCAGGACGTGACACAAATATAAAACTGGTGACAGCGGGGTGGGATAGAACAACCGGAATATTTGAGGAATTTTTGTTTAGTTTCGGGAATATAATCCTCCTCACTAATATCGATTCAAATATCTCCCTCAAACAGAGAGAACTCAATCAAAATTTTCTCGTCGGACAAATACAAATTGAACCGCCTCAGGGACCGACTTCGCTCTTTTTAAGGATGGGGGTGTTACGTCCCGAGGTATCCCGTAACTTCCTCCTCCCCCTGTTTTTTATCGCTCTTCTTTTTCGCTCTTCCTTCCCTGCATTCTTCTTTCATCCCTGTAGTCGCCTGTTGACATCGTACCGTTTCTGCTTCCAAATTATAATGTTAGTTGTAGTCCCGTGCGTATTGTAGCTGTATTTTGTTTCATTAAAATAATTTATATCTTTTACTTACCGCTTTTCGAGCTTATTAAATTTAATTAATTTAGATCCGGCAGTCACTGCCGCTGAACAACAGAAATATCGTTACGTACACTGACCACATTATTTTAAGCGAAATAAGAATCTCTTCAAAGATCAGCCTTGAAAACTCCGTGAGCGTGACTTATCAGCGCGCGAAAGCCTAATCCCCGCGTCACTTGTCATTTATAGGAAATTTCTTAACTCCTCTCATTTCTATTATTGTATTAAAATTCTAAATTGATCCGATAATTCCGCGCCTTCTGATCTTATTGTTCCACCGATCATGCTCGGTGTATGAAATGGGTTATGTTATGCGATTTTTTAGATATCATGTGCGATTTAGATAAACTAAATTTTTCCGCTCCGTTAGAACGGATGTGCATGATCCGTTTCTTGTCTTATTTCTATAAATCTAAGACCACCGTGGAACACCAAGTCCGTTGGTGTTCCCACCGAAAATGCTGACCATCGCAGTTGCAGAAAGAAAAGGAAGACTAGGACGAGCCTATAAATAAGGGCCTCGTCTTCAAGAACAGTAATAATTTCGTTCAGTCAGCCAGATTCAGTTCGGTAAGACAATTTCTAAATTCATTGTTTCACTAGTCTCGCGAGCTCTTTGTGAAGTCTTCTCGAGTAAACGAGAAATAATATCTCCGATAAAATCCGCGTGGTATATCGGCAAGTGCCAGATATTGTGCGAAATCTCCTGAAGCTAATCCTAGTGGTCTCAGCCTTGCCGCCCTCTTCTTTCTAAGGCGACGTAATAATAAATTATACCAGGTGTACCGGTATGAAGTGAAAATACAAATGTCTCGATAGGGAACATTTATTTTGAACGGGCCTTAATTTTGTTTTGTTTGGTTTCTATGACATCTATCAAACATATTCAGTTTACATCAAGTTATTGAACAAACAACATCATATTTTTTCATCGTGTTAAAAATGTCGAATTTTGTACCAGAAAATGATGATTTGCGGAAAGCATTAATTTTTTGTTTTCATTTGAAGAAAAGTGCTGCAGAGTCGCATCAAATGCTTGTCGAGGCATATGGTGATCATGCTCTATCAGAAGCAACATGCAAAAGAGGGTTTCAACGGTTCAAAGATAATGATTTTGATGTGAGAAGTAAAGAACGTGGAAAACCACCAAAAAAGTTTGAAGACACCGAATTGCAAACAATATTGGATGAAGATGACACTTTGAGTCAGACACAAATGGCAGAAATGTTAAATGTTGCACAACAAACAATTTCTGACCGTTTAAAAGCTATGGGAAAGATCCAAAAGTCTGGAAAATGGGTGCCACATGAATTGAATGAAAGACAGATGGAAAACCGAAGAAACACTTGTGAAATTTTGCTTCAAAGACACGATAGAAAATCAGTTTTGCATCGAATTGTTACTGGCGATGAAAAATGGATTTATTTTAAGAATCCTAAACGGAAAAGATCATGGGTTAATCCGGGACAACCATCAACTTCGACTGCAAAACCAGATCGATTCGGCAAGAAG